GATACTAGATATGATCTTTGCCACTATAGTTTATTTTGGATGGGAGGGATTAAACAGGTTTGGTCACTATTATAGTCTCATTTTCCCTATAAAGGTGCATCTACACTGTAGAAATAACGAAGTTTGACACCACTTTAAGTGCTATAGCTCCATCCTAAGGATTCCTGGGGTGTGTAGTACAGTATTACAAAGTCTTTAGCATTCTCTGCCCAAGAGTGCTGGTGCCCCACCAAACTACAAATCCCAGGATGGAGGTGTAGGATGGGGCCATGGCAGTTGAAAGGGTGTTGTTTCTGCAGTGCATAGGTATCCTTTGCAAAGATACAATACTAATGGATTATCTCACCAATATTGTGGCTGAGATATGGGGGGTGGGGTGTCTAAACTGTGCAAGGCGTCTTTCAAATTGAGAATGCTCTTAACCTCACTGCTGTGGTTTTGGCAGCTGGAGGATGCTCTTTTCACCACTTTTTAGTGGAGAAGTTTAGTAAGGGATGCTCTCATTGTTTTCAAGTCCACTGCAGGGAGGAGGGGGGAAACATATGTTTGCAAAATTAATTCCAACTGCAAGCATTTGCAATGTGTGAAGCAGATCTTAAGAGTTTCTGCAAATCCACTATGGAGTTTATCACATGGGAAAAAATGGAAGTTTAAATAGGTCAGAATCTGCAGTTATCCAGGATATTAGGCACAATTGCGCAAATGGTTTTCACATGACACTTGGAATCCAACAGGAAAGTAACATGAACCAGCAAATAGGCATTTTTGAGAAAATACTGTAAATACATTTCCGTTTCATTCACAAATTCACTTTTTTGGCACAATTGCTCTAGTGTGAAAGCCATTTTCAGGATTCTCCCCATTTCTGTACTTGCTGCTAGATTTCCCATGGTTCTTTGGAACAAGTAGCCAGGGCTCTTAAAGGAACAGTTACTTAGGCAAAGGCAGGGACACAGAGAAAAAGCTTGCTTCTCCCTAGTCTGTGTGCACGACTCGTCTCCCTCGCTCTTCCCCATTAGCCGGGGCTCTTAAAGGAACAGCCACTCAGGGAAGGCAGGGATGCAGACTTTTATGCTGTTTTTCTACCCTTCCTACTTCTTTGGGTAATGCTTTGTTCTTTTAACTTAGGTTGGATACCATTTCTTGGAAAGTAAGGACAGTACAGTATGTTTTTATAAAGAAAATTGTGTAAATAAAATTGTTTAATTCTCTGGGTGATTTCTGGTGATGCAACTACTTCTTCTGTGTGCCCACACAAAAAAAGAGATGCCCAAACCATTATTGGGATTTACACGCAGCTGTGTGAAAACCAAATGTGCGTTCTACCTTCTTTCTTTCTTTAGTAATGTGTTCTGTGTGTGAAAACACGTTATTTTGTTCTGTGTGTGAAAATCATTCGTGCATTGAACACTTTTGTGGGTTGTGGGTACTTTAATTGTTATCGGAATGGAGGTACATATGGTCCCTGTTTGATAAACTCCTATGTATACAACTGGGTTTGCCATTCCCCAAACCCTCCTCTTTAATGAATTTAGCACCAGCATGTGAATGCAGCAGTGCCACCCAGTGGCTGTTTAGCACAACCTCCATACTACTCTCTGTTTAGAACAGGGGGAAAGGCAACCTTTCAGAATAAATTAATATTTTAAGGTTGAAATCTCATGCACACTTGTTGGGAAATAAGCTGCAGTGAAATCACTTATATGTCATTCTATGTAGGCACATAGGACTGTGCTGCCAAACTATCAGATTGTCTATTATGGAGCTACTCATGTATTTTTTCATTCGCTAATTCTTGGCCTGCCTTGAGGACAATGCTTGAACTGGCATCACTATCTCTGGCAGAAAGAGCCATGAGATTCAAACTCCAGAGCCTTCAAGCTAAGGAGTCTATTCAGCTCACCATTCACACATTTGAGGATGAAAGTGTAAAGCAGGGGTAGGCAACCTTTTTGAGCCAGGGGCCGAGTTGTTGTCCCTCA